AATGGTCAAATGATTCAAAAAACACAAGGGACCGGAGAACCTGGGGTGGGGTTTTCCTTTTGGCATAGGAGAGGCTGCTTGTCCTCCAGGCCTCACAGCCGCGTGAAGGACGAGGACGCCCCACATGCCCAGCACGGCTGACGGTGTGCTGACGGGGCAGCCGGGAGCAGCCACCAGAAATCTCATCCAGCAAAACCATGGGGCTCCTGACCAATACTCCGACTCCTCCTGTCATCACCGAACGCTGATAAAGGAGAACACGACTGACACCCCGAGAGTCTGCTCTGGAGGACCCGGCTCCCTTCTCCCCCGCCCCCCACCACCTAATTCCCAGCACCAAAATGAGAGGGAGGGGATGGAATGGGAAGATTTCAGGAGAGAGAATTAAAGTTAGGGGCAAGCTCTGCAGATCCAGCAGGGTGGGGGGCTGCAGCCCTTAAGAGAGGTCACATTGATTGTCGTATAGGGGAGGACGGGGTGTAAAAGGAGGTGGGCAAGAGGGGCGTTGCAAGGCCCTTTGGCTTTGAAAACAAAAATAAAAACTAAAAGCTGCACAATCCTTCTCACCAATAATGGTCATTTGGAAGCTTTGAAATGGTTTAGGAACTGAGGGGTGGGGGAAGCAAGATAGAGGATAAAAAGGGACAAGGAACGAAAAGAATAAGGACTTGGACAAACACCCCAGGCATCAGGGAACCAGCATGAGGTATGGTTAATTTAAGGGTGTCTGTGAGGGAGGGAGGGGCCCTGGGATGCTCCCTCTCCCCTCAGCCCACCCTGGCAAGGGTAGCAAGATTTGCAGGGGCTACAACTGGAAATCAGGTAAGATGGTGGATAAAGCAAGCATGAGAGCGGGGCAGGAGAATGAGGGGTCCCCTGGCAGGGGCAGACCCTCTACTGTGTAAACGAAGCCCATCCAGTTCTCAGGGGACAATACTGATGGCAGCCAAACTGGGCAAGGATGCGCTGTGGGCACGGAGGGGGCATGACCTCTATTCAAGTTCTGTGTCTTGGCCCCTGGCTGAGGTATTGAGTGTGAGGAAGGGAACACTGGGCTGTGGGAAGGGGTCCAACTGTCCAGGAGGCTTAGCTAGGAGATGGATGGACAGGGCTTTTGGAGGGACCAGGGCCAAATTCAATGCTACATTTAGAGAAGAAACTGCCCCCACCTCATCCAGCCCAGTTTGGCTTTTAGGGTGCAGCTTTGAGGAATCTTCTCAGTGCAGCCCCTAGCTCAAACCCCTCTCCCTGCTGCTGGGAGGCAAAGCCCTCGCCTCGGTATCTGCTGTTGCTCCTTAGATCAGAGCTTCATCCTCACTGGGAGGGGAAGCCCGGTCCCGAGTAGCCACGGTCCCTAGTCTGCCCTGCCCCTCCCACCATCTTTGGCTTCAGATCAGGGGTGACTGGGGGCCGTGGGCGCTCTTGGACATAATGGAAGGTGGTAGCAGACAGGGAGCAGAGGACTATAGGATGGGGGCACAGGAGGAAGAGCACAGTCCCTCCCTCCACACACATGCAAACACATGCCTGAAACACATAGGACATACTAGGGCTGTGGTTTTGAAATGGGCAGGAAATTAATTTGTTTCTTTCCCTAAAGGATAAAATGCTTACTTAAAAATTCATGACAAGCCTCAAAGTTAAGAGAGAGGAGAGCCAGGGAGGGAATGGCCAGAGGCTCTGGCCTCCCAAAAGAAGTTAAAAGAAGAAGCGGGTTAAAGTGCGTGGTTGGGGCCAGGCCAGCAGGGAAGGGGAGTGGGAGGAGTAGGCTGTGGGGGCAGAACCAGCCCTTGATTTGCATATGAGGCGGCCAGGGGAGAGTGCAGGATTGGGGCCCAGGTACAGTAGTTGCTGCTTCAAGTGTTTTGCATTTGAACTTTAGGGGGATGGGATACAGAAATGGGGGAAAAGCTCCAGGCCCCAGTGCTAAATACCCTCCCCCCTTGTCCACTAGCTGCCCCTGAAGGGGGAGGAGTGCCCCCAGAGTGCTCACACAGTACCAGAGATTAAGGCTTCTCACTGCTGCGGGGATGGAGGAGCCGGCCGAGCAGGGAGGCAGTGATGGGAATGGAAGAAGAGGAAGGGATCTGCCTGGCAGGAGGGGGGGGGACACAGAGAGG